GAGAGAGAGAGAGACTCATCTGTTACCCAAGCTTTTTGTGTCACCATTGCTGCTCATTGCAAATGTGCATTTTGCAGTCCTCATTAATTAACACCTTTCTGCTATTATGTTTATTATGGACATAGCAATTCATGTGCTCCATAGGAAAAATAATAGTATGGGAAATGTATAGTAAAGTAGAAGAACACTAATTCAGAGTCTACTAAAAGAATCAAAGAAGCAGTAAAAGGTTGTATTTTCACAGCTAACCCACACAGCTTCCTTACTGCGTTGTAGAGGAATTTTCAAGAAGTTAGCCCAGCATAAAATGGGAGGAGAGACAAACAAATCCACTGCAGTATTAACTCATGAAACATTTAGCAGGATTTCTTTATATGTGCAAATAGGTACCTTTTTTCTTAAGGGAGGGAGTCATGCATGTCATAAACAAATACAAAATCAAGACAGTTGCATTATACCGCCTTAATAAAGTATTTCTAAATGCTTTCTGTTGATTCGGTGTCATCATATCAGATTGTGACACATGTTCTCTGTCTTTGTACATTAAACCAAGCATAGAATTCCTAGAGTTCCTTCCTCTCTGATATAATCCAGTCCCTAGTACCTGTACAAAGACAAATTCCATTGTGTGTGATTTCATTTTTGAAAATGTGATGTCAGCCTCTCTCTGAACAAATTGGCCAAAGAGTGGGAAAAGAATGCCCCTACAGTTGCTTCTCTTTGTTTCCTCTGTGTAGAACTCTGTGGTATGTGAAGAAGGGGTGTATTTTATGCCGCATGAATGTTTGCTGTTCTCATTCTGATAATCAATGAGATGTAAAATTGCAGCAATTCCATGCTGCCTAAAGCCTCTGCTGATAAACCTCATTTGGTTTGTCAGAAGGCATAAACCACTCATTAGACCACATCATTAGCTAAGCTTGCCTTTAATGTGAAGGAAATGTGAATGAGGCCTTTCCCCCCCTCAACACAAAGTTTTACTGTTGTAACTTTAAAGAAAGTGTATTCAGAAGTTGCTTTCTGCATTCAAATACAGTGTTAAGATGGTACATATGTACCCAGATTGTCCTTCCAACAGCCATTAACTAGCAGGTAAAGTCTGTAGAAAGAATGTGAACATATTCCTGGGATATGAAATAATAATAATATGAAAAGATGTGATTTCCTGGAAAAAAAACTTTAAAAAAAGCTCTGTAAAAGACATCTATTTCTCATTTTTGGATGCTTTAGAATTTCTTTCAGCAATCTATTGTTGCTGTTGTCAACTGTTCTTTTATTGCTCTTCAGCCTCAGTAGTAGCTCTCATTTTCTGATTAGAGGAAAAAAGATTCATAGGAGGGATTTCCTTACAATTCAGTTGATGTCTAAGCAGGAAGAAGGCTGCAAACTGTAGGAAGAGGTGATTGCTCAGTGAAACATAAAACCTATTAGTACCTTTCAGCTGTCTTGTAACAAAGGGAAGTGTAAGAACCTTTTCTGTTGGGAGAGGAGCTGCCTAATTTTGTTTCTCCTTCTTTCAGATAAAGAGTTGAAAAAATGCAAAAGTAAATTGGAAGAGCAGAAGAGTATCTTGCAGTTTCACTGCCTCTCTCTCCCCCCTCTATTTTTTTTAAAAAACACATTGTATTTGACACAATCACAATATTGTCTTTTAGAACACATCCTATAATTCTCATTCCCTTGTCTGTTGATACACCCCTGGGTTGGATTCACATATTTCATTATATTTTCTTCAGATATTCCCATTGATATTTTAGGAGGTGGTGCAATGGCTCAGTGATTAATCTGACAGCCCAGATTCAAAACCTGAGCATCGCATGGCAGGGTGAGCTCTGTTCATTGCCCCAGCTCCTGCCAACCTTGCAGTTCGAATGCATGCAAATGCAAGTAGATAAATAGGTACCACTTCGGTGGGAAGGTGAACAGCACTGTGCAATGTCATGCTGGCTACATAAGCACAGAAACAATTTTGGATCATGCTGGCTCAATGGCCCTTGAAACAGAGACTACCCATTATAATTGACTACCAGAGTAAAATCCATAGGGATTCCTTTATCTTTTTTTAAAATGTCCATCTACTATAGGCTGTTCATGGACATGGCAAGAAATTGAAGTGATCTGGGACTGTTCAAATCCCCTCAAGGGCTAAGTTGTAATGGAGCCCTGGTTGTTAGTCCAACACAGGACAATATTCATGGAGTCCCTGAGAAGAACCTAACGTTCCATGTAAAAAGCTGAAAAATGACTAATCACACCAAGTGAATAACTATTTTCCATAAGTTATAAGCATTCACCAAATTATTCATGAATTCATGAATCATTATGAGTGAGGAAAAATGTTTGGATATTAGCAGATTATTTTGTAGAAATATATCAACTGGGACAAATAGCTGAATCCTCTGCATAAATACTTGGATAACTTCACTCAGACTATTAAAGCAGAATGATATATAAAGATGTTCAGGCATATGGAGAAACACTTTTGATCTTCAGTACCTGGGAATTGACTGTGATTTTGATGGGCAATTTTTCATAATTTGTTTTACTTCTTACAGCCTTCGTCTTCTTGTCTGTTGCTTCTCTGTTACAGAGTATATTGAGGGTTATTTGGTAGCAGTTTATAACGAAAAAGATCTAACCTTTGCTTTCTTGATCTTCCCTGAAGCACTTCTTTTTTGCTTTGCACAAAAAGCAAACTAATGTATAGTGCTACTGAAACACTGAAGTTTTTACTGCTGCTATTTATTTTAATAAGAACAATCTGTTTCATCTTTTTTTGTTGTTGTTGTCCCTAACCTACTTGAATGGACTAGCTGCATTTTGATGATGAATTACCTGCAGCCTGTGACTCTAAACACATTTACCAGAAAATAAATCCCATACAGATTGTATAAACTGCTCCTTAGGACAAACCTTTCATTCATTTTCTGAGGTGAAGAAAAATTGAACCAGGTTTTTTTTGTTTGAACATTCTACTTTTTTTTCTTGGAAAGAAGCAAATATTTTTAAATGTATAGTTTTATTGGGACGAACCAAATATTGTTGTAGCTGTTTGAGCTAGTAGTTAAGGCATCAGGCTAAAAAACAAACAAACCGGAGACTATGAGTTCAAATTCCACTTTAGCCATGAAAGCCAGCTGGGTGACTTTGGGCCAGTCAGTCTCTTTCAGCCCAACTCACCTCATATAGTGGTTTTCATGAGGAAAATAGGAGGAAGGTGTGTTGGATATGTGTGCCACTTTGGGTTATTCATAAAAAGAAGCCCAAAATGACTTCTACTATAGTAAAAGCAATTAATCATCTATAAAACCCTTCATGGCATAGGGAGTGATTTGTGGGACCATGTATTTGTTTTGCCCACCCAGTACAGAGAATAGTGTATGTATTATGCCCACTCTCCAGTGATTCTAGAAGTCCTTCAAGCCTGGCTTTGTTCACATTTGGGAACAGGGTTAGTGTGTTTGTGAAGTCCCTGTTGGGTATGTGATCTTTTTTAATTGTTATGGTTGTTTGTTTTAATGTAGGTGGTTGTGTTTTTAACAATTTTAATTGTATAGTTCAATATTATATAAGCTGAACAGAGCATTTTAGAGTGGGTGATCATAAAGATTTCATAAATATAATAATAATTATAATAGCAATAGATACCTTGGGTGAAATCCCAAAATAAGTGGAGCACCTTTGGAACTCCATTGACATTAACAAATTTACTGTCAGTCAATTGTAAAAGGCAGTGTTGTTTGCAACAACTTACATCCTGAGACAATACCTCTAAAACCATCAGACATCAACATCTGCCTATCATGGGTCCTTAGAAAGGACTCGATAGATGGATAAAAATGCTGATTCAATCTGAACATCTGGGTGGACATGCAATAAACCATAATAACAAATAATGAAAATTATTGATACTAGTGGAAGAGAGAGAACTCCATATTCACATTATTTGACATGAAATACCTAAATATCCTTATGATATACATAAATTATTAAATAACATTTTTTTTTTACTTTTCATTCATGGATTAACTGAATTCATTTCTTGTTGGACCAAGAATTTTTTTAAAAAAAAATGAAACTATGTCTTTGACTTAAAGACTTCATATTTTCATAAGTGTGTCAGTGATTTTTAATTAGAACCCATGCCCTAAAGGACATATTCAGATTTTAAACCCATTGGTTGACTGTGATGGTGGTGGGAGAGCTGATAATGATTGATAAAACATAATTATGTTTTGGGTAGATGCACTTAAATTGATTTGACTTTGTTAATAACTTTAAATTGGCTAGTTATAAATTTAGTTATTTCTTAATTATTTCAATGAATTTAGTGTAGGATTTCTTTTGAATTTGCCTGTTTTGCAATTTAATGGAAACTGCACTTCTGGAAACTATACACAAACTCTTTAATTTTTTCCAACTTTTGAAATGTATCTTAGGAATAAAAAAATGTGTACAAACATGTATTTGATAGGAAACTGGAATTCGATAACAACCCTATCCTGTATCTATTCTTAACTGCATCCAATCATCAGATTTCAGGCTTTTCTCAACCATAAAGAACAACTGATATTGGTCAAGTTTTTTTTTTCCTGGTTATCGCTTTTTGTTGTTGCTAATGCACATGATTTCACTGTGGTTTCTAATACAAGAATGGGCAATAAGAATGGATGATAAGCTATGTGTATGTGTATACAACTACTTTTCACTGTGTGTGATTTCTGGATCCATGTGGTTATGTTTTTCATAGAGAAGAAAAGAGATACCTAGTAGAATTCCCCTATTAACTGTGCATCTTAAATTTACCGATGATTAATATCATGCTAACTTTCTTTAATACAAGTCAGTTTTGCTTTTATGACTTGCAGTATTCTGTTAATCACTTCCTCCTTCCTTGATCAAATACAAACATAATTCAGTCTTTACAAATTCTTATACCAGCACTGAATATTATTTTGTGCATGATATTGAACTCAAAACTCTCTTCCTGCTTTAAACAGGTTAAGACTATGAAGAAAGACTGGCATTTTGACACAAGTGGGTTGGCTTCAATCTTGCTAGCCCCCCAAAAGAAGTTCTTTGTGTATATGACTCAAGCAAGTAGAATTACTTCTAGAGTACCAGCTTTACGGGCCAGGAATTAAAAAGGGTAGAAGATGGACTAAGTATTCTGGTAGGTTGTTTGCTTACTCTAGCAATTTCTATGAAACCTCTTGTTTAATTGCTGTACATAATATAATGTCCTAAATTTATCATACCTGTGTGATTATGAAGTTATATAGATATATATAAATCATTTGCTCATATGAGAGAGAGAGAGGAAGAGAGGGAGGGAGGGAGGGAGGGAAAGGGAGAGAGGGTGGGAGGGAGAGAAGAGGGAGAGAGAGGGAGAAAGAGAGAGATGACATGTAGGCATAAATCCTGAGCACTCTAATTTAGTTGGACTTTGGCATTATGGTAAAAATGTTCTAAAATACTCCCTCCCTCCCCCTTCTCACACACACACCAACAACAAACAAGCCCTAAGTTCAGTGTAGTTTTGCAGCTACATTGTTTTATCTGGAAGCAAATCCTATGGAGCCCTGTTTTGACTAGAATGTGACATATTTTGAAATTCAACAAACATCTGAAATGAGTATTATATGTTGCTTCATAGGAAGCCAATCCTTAATGATGTGACTGTTCAGCAACTTAAAAACAAGGCTGACTGGAGTAACAATACAAGGGTCATCAAAGCTTAGAACTGACATCCTGTGAATTTGACACAAAGCTGTGAGATGGACTCTGAAATGATGTTGTTAAGAAATGAGAAATAGAACACCTCTGCAATTGATGCGACTTTCTCCTCTTGAATCATCTACTCTGGTGGCATGATTTCAGCATCTGCATCTTTATGTATTTCAGTGTGATCTCTGGTTTTTTAATTCTTTCTGGAAAGCAGAGAAGAAAACCATGCCAACAGCAAACTCTGTGTGTGCTTTTGTCTGCATGCACATTAGATGGCTTTTATCTGAAGCAGATGTAGCATGGAATGCACATTAACTGGAAACAGAAATCTGTAGAGAATATGACAGATTTGGTTGATGATCTTTTACAGAATCTAGCATTTTATGTTGTAACGTTTACATGCTCCTTTATCTCATCCCTAGATTAGTGTCGTTGATAAGAGGTCCACCTGCATTTGTTCATTTATATTTCATATTTCTTAACTGCCTATCTCTCTCAGAGGATTATAAGTATTATAATCATATAGTGCCAAAGTGGTGTGTACCACAGTACATGTTTTAATGCAAAAGATCCTAAGGTTGATCTCCAGCATCTCCATGAGAAATTCAGGGGGGGAAATTGCATGATGAAAAATTACTGATAATGGTAATTTACTGATAATTCTGTGCTAGATGAACTAAAGGTCATCATCTAAACCTTACGTTGTATTCAGTTCTCCTTGTTCTTTGGTCCCATCTTCATTAGAAATATTTCATTATCTTATGCAGACATTAGAAATGGAAAAAGTGAGCATATTCTATTTGTTTGCATAATCAATGAATTTATGCAAGAACAAACATTTTTGAGGGTACACAAACACAAAATTGAATTAAAAGATGGAGGAAGGAGGTGATCAAGCAAGGAATAACATTAAAGAAGGATATGGCTGAATGATCAGATCTCCTTTACATTACTTGGAGAACCCTGAACAGGTTGTAGTGCCTAAATGTAAAACCAATATGTTCAAGTGGAGGCTCTTAGCAGAGAGCAACATGCTATGTGAATATCTGCTGATATGTCTCCTACTACCAGAAACATGTATGGATAATTACTTATTTTTGGCCAATGAAAAAGGCAAGAAGGTAGCTTCATTCTGGCACGTTAAAGTTTGACTTGGACATGAAGGAAGAAGAAGAATCAGTGTATTTACATCAGTAACGTGTCTGCACTACCAACCCTTTTGAGGAAAAACAAGCTTCCATATCTACTTTGTCATATATTTGGGAGGGATCAAATTTTACTACCACTTATTTGGTTTTGGTCAATTAATAACTTCATAATACAAAATAATTCATCCCTGTGGTTTATACTTATAGACAGACAGTCTCCTTTTCCTGAGCTTCCCTTTAATTTTCTGGAAAGCCAGCTAAATGTATATTATCAGCAGTCTGACTTATGAACAAGAATACTCCCCAAGCAATTAACTCAGATTCCAAATCAGAATATTTATTAGAAGATCCAGCAAAGAGGCTACAAATGTTTAGCAGCTTTTTAAATTTGAAAAAAAAATTGATTCTGCAAACTAAAACTGAATTTATATTTATTATGAGCTATAACTTTTAAGGATCTTTGCAAGGCAAGAACCTGAGTTTTACTGCTTCTTAGAGCAAACAAGTTCAGACAGTTCATTAGTTACTAATGAGTTGGAAATAGCTTACAAAAATAAAATTTGAAATGTACAATAATTTAGATAAACTGATCTAATATATTTTAAATGATTGCTACAGTAATTGTTTAGTATAACACTAGTGAAATTAGCTTAGGATAGGGATTCATGTATATACTCTAACATTGGATATATATTTCTTTAGAAAAATGATTTAGCAAGTGGCTAAAGGAAGTCTAGGTTATTCATGTTTATGGATTACATAGGTATCGAGCTGATCCATTTTGAATAGCTACATTTTTCAATGATAATGATCTTTCAAGAGCAAAGAAAAAAGACACCAGTTTTTAAATTACTGTCCTTCATAGTATTCATAAATCACATAGAACTCTTCCCTGCTCCCATGCCAGCTTCTAAACCTGGCTGTTGTTATGCCTAAGAGTCAACAACAACTTGATGGAATCAATCAATAATCAATCAATCAATCATATGACAATCTTCCTCTAAGCCTCCACAATCTTTGCTCAGAGTAGGTAATCTGAGGCTTTCTATCTATTGCTGAATTATAACTAAGAAGCATGGTGAGAAGCAATAATTATTAGAAACAGTCATTCAACAATATATGGTATACCATAACCTTCCTTCTACTCTTATGTTCTTCTACGAATAGTTAGCCAAATCTGCCTTCAACCTCTAGAGTTGAAAATGGAAGTCAGTAAATACCCATAGAGAAAAAAACAAACCATAGATTTGCCTTGTGCCAAGATTAATAGCTTGACTGAGGTGCTCCTGATTTCCAAGTCATTCATAGTCCTATACAAAGTCACCTCAGTGGATTTTGCATTCCTACTCAATGGTGGAAGAGTCTACAAATGTTTCTTTTTGATTTAAAACATGGATTTGTTTTTAAAGTGCTGAACAACATAGTTTATCTCCCTTTCATCAACATCAAGTTACAACATGCCTGGTTATAAAAGATCAGAGATTTCTTGAGAAAAGCAGATGTGTCTTCTGTGCCATCAAAGTTTAATTTCTGTACCTTTTACTAGAGCTGAAACCTAGAAAGGGCCAGAATAAAACAAAGATGTCTCTCTTGCTCTTTCATTATAATTATAATCTTCATCACTTCTTGATGGGAGATCACAGACTAATTCATGACCCAAGTGTTTCCTGTTCTTGGAGATTGTACAGCATATTATTTTCTTCATAAAGAGAAAAGAAAGTTCTTTCATTATCCGCACTTTGAAATGTACTTCATTGCTCAGATTCAGAGAACTAAATTCACAAAGAAGCACAGATCCTTCATGTCCACTCTTATTAATAGTTATATGACGTCTCAATACTGGATTATCCCATGGATATTTCAGTCTATTCAATGAGTGAACCTAATAAAAATGTAAAGTTTCAGTAGGGAATTGCCCTGTAGATATCTTATTTTAGTAGTAGGTGAACATTTCACATATTAATCGAGAGACTGTTTGTGTCTGCTAATAAATGTATTTGAGTTAAATTCCATTATTTATTGAGCATATGGTGATATTACATTAACCAGGAGACTACAGTGTTAATACATAGTAGTTGTTTGGCTGCTAATGATTGCTAGTCCAGTAAGTTTACGGTATCATGCTATTCAAAGCACATCATGGGGTGAACTAGTTCCATACACAGAAAGGTTCATCGGTATTCTGCAGTGTCATCTGGGACTTTTCCAATGTCACCTTACATTCAGGTGTCACCTTTGGGCAGATCTGGCACCTGTTGAATTCATACTGCCACTTGAGGCCATTTTTCCCACCAAGTCTCTATTTATCTACTTACATGTAACATTCTTTCAAATTGTTAGGTTGGCAGAAGTTGAGGCAAGTGATCTTGACAGTTAGAACAATTAATCAGTGGAACAACTTGTCTCCAGAAGCTGTGAATGCTCCAACACTGGAAGTTTTTAAAGAAGAGATTGGACAACCACTTGTCTGAAATGGTATAGGGTTTCCTACCTAAGGAGGGGGTAGGACTAGAAGACCTCCAAGGTCCCTTCCAACTCTGTTATGCTAAGATTCTAACATAGGAGCTTATTCTGTCGCACAATGCTAGAACTCGAACCACCAGAATACAGACCTTCTCTAGCATCATTAAGCTGGAGCCACCATGCCCCTTCTGTCGAACTCCATGATATAAAGCTATAGTTTTTTTCACAATTAGTGTTTTTCTCCTTTTCTTTTGGTGGTGCATTTATTATTGTTGATTTTGTCAAATAATATCAGTCTATAAATGCCATAGTGAGATTAGGTTCCATTTTAATGAGAAAATAATATGATAGTCAGTATGGGTTCTCCTGCTTGAGCAGGGGTTTGGGTTGAAAGACCTCCAAGGTGCTTTTCAATTCTGGGGTTCTATATTGAGTCCCTGACCCTGCATATTGAAGTAGTGATTTAGTTACTTATTCGAGCTAACTTCCTGTCGGCCCTTTGAGGTAGGCCATGTCAATTGTAGATGCCAGAGATTCCAGAAATGCTATTTTATCATTATAGATGGTGTTAACAGAATCTTAGAAGCAAATCTAAAACATTTCTTCTCTTTTTAAGGACAAGCTTAAGGGGGGAATGGGGAGGAGAGAGGGAAAGGAGGGGCTGTTCTGATATTTTTTTTCCCCACATGTTCAAATCTCCCAGGGCTAAGCAACAGTTTCTTCTCTCCCACTGCCCTTCTCAAAACAGATCTAAATTTCTTTTACCATCCTTTCTAACAACAGGAGCTCTGAGCAATTGCAGATTGTATCTCCTAAGCTCCAGAATGATAGTAAC